ATCTAATGTGTATGCATAAAAATAATATTGTATAGTTTTCTATTAAAAATATGAATTTACAAGACAGATTTGTAAGGGGTGTACTTATAAGATTATATATATATATATATATATATATATATATATATATATATATATATATATATATATATATACTTATAAAAATATAAATATACATACACACACACACACACACACACACACATACATACATATACACTGTCATAAACCACACTATGAACACAAATCAGCAATCACATTTGAGCATTTAGGCCAAACTGAAATGGATTTCTCCATTTATTAATGGGAATTCCAGTGTTATCAAGCGTAACGGCCTGCACAGTGTCTGCGGATAACTCGTGTTGTGTTGGGAAACAGATGCTAGTAGCAGCTGTTGAGATTACACGCCATAAATTCAGCAAAGAAGGGGCTGCTGTTTTGCGTTTGCAACCTTGTGTAATATCTTTATTTGTGCTGTCTCTCGTTTCAGTTGCCAAACAAAGCCGTACCTGCTGCAAGAATGGGGGAACGTGCATTTTGGGAAGTTTCTGCGCCTGTCCGAAGTACTTCACCGGCAGGAGCTGTGAATACGATGAACGCCTCAGGTCAGAAATAACGCAGAGATTAAGCCCTGCAGCATTATTGTGGCCACACAGGGTTTGTAAATGTCTGTGTTTATGTGTTTTCACAGGGATTGTGGTGTTATTCCACATGGAGAATGGGTTCAGAAAGGATGTTCGTACTGCAGATGTGGATATGGACTTTTGCATTGCTTCCCACATGTTTTCAGCAAAGACTGTGGTGAGTTTAATGGTGCACTTTATATTACTGTGGGGAACACTGATAACATGAGGCTAGACACACTTAAAGGAACACTACACTTTTTAATTTTTTTGAATGAATGGTCATTTTTCACTAGAATTAAACCGTTTTCAATCATTTATTTTATCTCCGGGTCTGGCGGGAACACTTTTAGCTTAGCTTAGCATAGTTTATTGAATTGGATTAGACCATTAGCATCTCACACAAAATGTTTTAAAAATGCACTACTAATGGTCTATTCCGATTTAATGGTTTATGCTAAGTTAAATGTGCTACTGCTCAAAATATTTAAAAATCCACTGCTTCCAGATGTTTTCAGCAAAGACTGTGGTGAGTTTACTGATGCACATTATATTACAGTGGGGAACGCTGATAACATAAGGTCAGAGATACTTAAAGGAACACTACACTTTTTAAAATATAGGCTCATTTTACACCTCCCTTGGAGTTAAGCAGAGGAGTTTTACAATTTTAAAATCCATTTAGACTATGTTTGGGTTTGGTGGGAACACTTTTAGCTTAGCATAGTTTATTGAATTGGATTAGACCATTAGCATCTCACTCAAAATGTTTTAAAAATGCACTACAAATGGTCTATTCCGATTTAATGGTTTATGCTAAGTTCAATGTGCTCCTGCTCAAAATATTTTAAAATCCACTGCTTCCAGATGTTTTCAGCAAAGACTGTGGTGAGTTTACTGATGCACATTATATTACAGTGGGGAACGCTGATACCATGAGGCCAGACACATTTAAAGGAACACTACACTCTTTTAAAATATATAAGCTCATTTTACACCTCCCTTTAGTTAAGCAGAGGAGCTTTACAATTTTAAAATTAATTTAGACTATGTTCAGGTTTGGTGAGAACACTTTTAGCTTAGCATAGATCATTGAATCGGATTAGACCATTAGCATATTCGAAAATGCATTGCTTATGTTTTCAGCAAAGACTGTGGTGAGGTGTGCACATTTTTTTACAGCGGGGAACACTGAATACATGAGAGCAGAGACACTTAAAACAGTCCACTTTTTAATAAAGGCTCATTTTACACCTCTCCTAGAGGTAAACTGTATAGTTTTACCATTGTTTTAAATCAATTTAGTCGATCTCTAGGTCTGCCGGGAACACTTTTAGCTTAGCATAGATCATTGAATCAGATTAGACCATTAGCATCTTACTCAAAATATTCCAAAAATGCACTGCTGCCAGATGTTTTTAGCAAAGACTGTGGTGAATTTACTGATGCACATTATATTAGCTGATAACATGAGGTCAGACACACTTAAGGAAACGCTCCGCTGTTAATTTTTTTAATATATAGGCTCATGTTACACCTACCTTGGAGTTAAAAAGAGGAGTTTTACAATTTTAAGTCCATTTAGACAATGTTCGGGTTTTGGTGGGAACACTTTTAGCTTAGCTTAGCATAGATCATTGAGTCGGATTGGACCATTAGCATATACGAAAATGCATTGCTTTTCATGTTTTCAGCAAAGACTGTGGTGAGTTACACACACACACACACACACACATACACACACACATATATATTTCATTTTTAGGCTTTACTCTTTTGCGGTTACTTAATAGGATTGACTGAAAATTAAAAAAAGATATTTTCTAGGTCAATGGTGGCTAGGAATTATACTCCCACTCCAGTGAAATAATGATAATAATATCCATAGCTGCAGCAGGCACAATGATATAAAGCAGGACTGAAAATAGCCCACAACTAGATGACAGTCCTGCATAAATAAAAAAAGGCATTAATATATAATATATTCTTATCAATAAATATATACAGTAGTCAACATTTGTGGATCAAAATCTTTCAACAAAGTCGTCCTGAAACTATTCAACAACACTCACTCTTGTCTTTTCTGATGTACTTCAAATGTTGACTACTATATACAGTTGAAGTCAGAATTATTCGCCCCCCTGTTTATATTTTCCCCCAATTTCTGTTTAACGGAGAGCAGATTTTTCAACACATTTCTAATCATAATAGTTTTAATAACTCTTATACTTGATTTATTTTCTCTTTGTCATGATGACAGTAAATAATATTAGACTAGATATTCTTCAAGACACTTCTATACAGCTTAAAGTGACATTTTAAAAGCTTAACTAGGTTAGTTAGGTTAACTAGGCAGGTTAGGGTAATTAGGCAAGTTATTGTATAGTGATGGTTTGTTCTGTAGACAAATGAAAAAATATATTGCTAAAAGGGGCTAATAATTTTGTCCCTAAAATGTTTTTTAAAAAATTAAAAACTGCTTTTATTCTAGCCGAAATAAAACAAATCAGACTTTCTCCAGAAGAAAAAATATTATCAGACATACTGTGAAAATTTTGTTGCTCTGTTAAACATCATTTGGAAAATATTTTTAAAAATAAAAAAAAATTAAGGGGGGCTAATAAATCTGACTTCCACTGTATACGATTATCAAAACTCATTTTTTGAAATTTGAGCGAGATGCTAATGGTCTAATCCGATTCAATGATTTATGCTAAGCTAAGAGTGCTCCCGCTAGACCTGAAGATCAGCTAAATCAATGAAACAATGGTAAAACTTGACTGTTTAACTTTAGGAGAGCTGTAAAACTAGCCTGTTTCCAAAAAAGTAGAGTGTTCCTTTAATACCCATCAGTCTGCTGTAACCAGTTTACTTAGAAATGCACAACAATAGAAAGCCAGCAGAGTTTCTCACCTCTAACGCTGCGCTAATAGTGCTGTGAATCACTGACTAGCGTTGATCCAAACTGACGGACCTCAGATGATTATTCAGACTGTCTGTTTCTTGTTTGAGAAGCGGTTTCTTCAGATTACACTTGTCTATGTCTTTATATTTAACTTATTTGTTTATATTTTCTTTCAGATGACTCTCAGGAAGTTCGGTGGCACCGGTCGGGCTCCCTCAGAACACTGTCGTCTACAATTGTCATGTTCGCCCCTTTTATTTTACACCGCCTGCTGTAAATGAGTTTTCCTAATGGGATAGTTCACCCAAACAAAGAAAATGATCTCCCCTGTTGAACGCAGAAGAAGATACTTTGAAAAATGCTGGCACTTGACTTCCATAGTAGGGGAAACATTACTATGGAAGTGAACCAGCATTTCTCTTTTGTGCCCAAGAGAAGGAAGCAGCTCTCAAATAGGTTTTAAACCGTTGAAGGATGAGTAAATGTGTTCATTTTCGTGTGAACTATCCCTTTAACAAACAGAAAGCGGTTTTATTTTAGATTTTTTTCTGTCTGACAGGTTCGGGCAGCATTTATTGGTGGCACTGAAATGTGTTTTTGCTTCCAGTGGAAGTCTAACTAGCTGTGTTAAGAGCTGTTTAGTGAAGGAACATGTATATAGGATTTATATTGAAAATATATTGTGTGTGTGTGTCAGTGCGCCGCCGAGCCAAATGAATTCTGTCCTTTTCTATGTCTCTGCGTGAATTTATTGTACCAGAGAGAGTGCGCCGGCTGAAAGCAAAGCATTTTCATCGTCTGTATCTGCAAATACACGTGTTTTATTTTAATACATGTCATCTTAACAGTGAGCTGTGGCTTTTGTTTTTAAGTTCTCGCTAGTCGAATGTCCTTATTTGTGCTCCACAACTTTCATTTGCCGTGCTTGTTAATGGAGAAGGAGTCAGATAATGCAGAGATAGCCTGTGATTTGTTGACCTTTCGGCTATTTTCTCTTATCTTATACAAACAAGTCGTCCATTTGGCCAATCAATCTGGGTGGCTGGAGCGACCGTCTTGACCTTCTTGATGTACTGTAACGCTCCGTATGATTGAGCGAATTAATTTGTCTCATCCAATTAAAACTCGCATCAAAAACCCAGATGACTGACTGTTTACTGACTTCAATTAGGCAGTTTATCATGGATGCTGAAAATTAGATTGGAGCTCAGGCGATAATAAGCCGTGACATCCAAACAAGACCTTTATGGAGATTCAGGAGTAAAACACTACTTTGCCAAGTTTTGGAAACAATAATTAGAATGTCTGTTTGGAGATTATAACATTTGATGACATTAATTCAAGCTCATGTTTACAGATTTTATATATATATATATATATGTATATATATATATATATATATATATATATATATATATATATATATATATATATATATATATATATATAAAATCATAGCATTGTAAAAAATTTAATGGTTTTTTGAGATAAATCAAATAACTTTAAGTCAATTTATTATCTATTTAATTTCTCATCTTTGACTGCCATGTGCATAGTGTAATAGTGAGTTTTGTTTAAGTCACGATAACTTCTAGATGATTGAAAATCAAAGTTGTAAATAAAATAAAGATGAGTCTACTTCACTTGACTAAACAAACCAAGTTTTTAACTATTTTTTTTATATTTTTAATTTAACACTAACTTGCAGTTGTTTGTGCAATGAATGAGTTTTTTTTACCCAAATGTTTTCAGTGTAGTGATGCTCTGAGTAAAATGATTTATTGATGTATTTTTAGATATGTACATATATTTCAATTATAAATTATACATTTCAAATGTTCATAAATACAGTGATCAGCATAGTTAAGTACAGCCCATTTTGAAAATGAATATTTGCATCCATTTCTCAGTGAATATAGGCAGTGTATTTTGGTGCATTTGAACAAAACAGATTTATTAAACAAATGTATTTGTTAAAATAATGTTTTAGTCATCAAACATATTGAGAAATTAAAAGATAATACAATTAAATTCAAGCAAAGTATTGAAAAAAAAGTTAATTTTATCTAGATGTATTATTATTTATTTATTTGCTTCTTGATTGTTCCTCTTTTTTTTTTTTTGTATTTAATATTTTTTTATAACGTATATCAATTTGGCTGTACTAGCTTTTGGACCTTTATCGTAAGTTATTTTGTTAGAAAAGCTCTAGATTTGGCTTCAGTACTGACTAATCTAATGTGTATGCATAAAAATAATATTGTATAGTTTTCTATTAAAAATATGAATTTACAAGACAGATTTGTAAGGGGTGTACTTATAAGATTATATATATATATATATATATATATATATATATATATATATATATATATATATATATATATATATATATATATATAAATATACATACACACACACACACACACACACACACATACATACATATATATATATATATATATATATATATATATATATATATATATATATATATATATGTATATATATATGTATATATATATGTGTGTGTGTGTGTGTACTTTCATGTTTATAAAACTACATGTGTATAGAAATATATATATAAATATATATAAACACATACATACACACACAGACACGTGTGTATATATAGGCAGTATATACATACATAGAACACACACACGTCTATGTTTCTATATATTGCCCATATAATGACATTTGTACTTTATATATATATGTGTATATATATATATATATATATATATATATATATATAT